ATTTCTCCTTGGCTGTGAAAAGCTTTCTAACTTGAACCACGCAAAGGATGACAGGTCTCAAGAGATTTAGATCCTTTTTGCAACAGGCAGGGAATGTGAGACATGGAAAGATGCAATCACAGTCATTGATGAGACATATTCAAGTGATGCTTATGACACTACAGCTTAGCTGAGGTCCTTGTCAATCTAAAGAGGAAATTCCACTCTAAGCCTGATTTTTGGGGTCTCCCTCTTCCAGGACAATGCATTAATGCTGCTGTATGTGCACTTAACCAGGCATTTTAGATCAGTTCCAAGGTTAGCCTAAAAAGCATGAAACTATGCAGGGGCAGCAAGTGCCAAGCAGATCAGTGAATACCAAAGATTTTCTGTACACATTGTCAAGTGATTATTGGGAAAATTCTCCTGATAAAACTCCTGAAAACACCAACTGCCTTGGGAAACTCCAGGTCATTCCACCAAGCAAGAATATTTGCAATCAAATTGTATGAAAAACAGAGAATATTTCTAAATGGTTTTCTTAAAAGAAAGTCTTTCCTCTATATTCTGCTCTGACACAAGGCTCCTGTTTAGGATGGGCACCCGTTTAGAAATGTGTGTTGAAGATACACTGACTTGATATTCACATCCTTCACCTCATAATGTGGCACATCCTTCACTATTGCACTGGAAGGGGAAGATGGGATGAGCTTTCTGATTCAGTAGTTGTGCAGCAGACATACAGTTCCACCCTTTGAGAGATTTCTTCGGAAAAATGACACGTTTCAGCCAAAGTGCACACAAGTGTCATGACACGTGTCATGACTCATAATGCAGAACTGTGTATCATGGCTGAGAAATTAAGGTCATTCTTCATATTTCTGGTGTCATCTGTGGCCTGCAATACTTTTAAAATGCTCACCACCTGAGTCATTCAAAGGAAAACTGCACCCTTGTATGTGTGGAAACAGTATGCATATTCATTCACAGATAAGCTGCCTTGTTTCAGATATACAAACCAGTCCTTTATCAGAAATGCTGTGCTTCTTACCAGAGAAGAATTTCTCAGGATAAACATCACCTTTATTAATTACAGTGTCAAAGCTATAGCATGTAGAAGTAATACTAAAGTAAGGAAAATTCTGCTGGGACTGTGAAATTTTACCACACCTTTGCCTCTCCAGGTGTGGAACAAAATGCCTTAATAATATTTATACAGGAACCTCACCACACCCTTTGGGAACTCCTAAGGTTTTACATAATGTTAGAGTATGTCAGCAAGGATTGCTTGGCAAGGGAATGCTTCCAAATTTACATGTAGGAGGCACACAGCAGATCACTATCTACTTTGTTTCAAAATAAAGACACGTGTATTATCCACCAAAGTTTAAAGGGAAAAAGGATACTCAAGGAATGAATATCTCTTTAACTTAAAAACTATTTGAGATTTCAGTTTGATAAAAACTTGCCATCACACATAAATTCCTTCACAGCACAGCCTAAAATCTGTTATAATCAGTCTAGGTGATGCAGATAGGGTTTTTTTTCAGTTGACAGTGTTAGGTACAGCTCATGCCATGCTCTCAGTTACACTATGACAGAGTCATCACCCCAGGAAAGAGCCCTGCTTAGCACAGAAAATGTTATGTTTCTAGTCACAGAATTGTTGTGGCGCGGCATGCGGCGCGGCACAGAATCATATGCTGAGGTAGAAGAGACCCATGAGGATCATTGAGCCCAACCTGCACAGGACATCTCAAGAGCCACACAATGTGCACTGCGAGTGTTGTCCAAATGCTCTTTGAACTCAGACAGGCTCGGTGCTGTGACCGCTTCCCTGGAGATCCTGTTCCAGTGTCCAATCATCCTCTGGGTGAAGAAACCTTTCCTGATAGCCAGCCTAAACCTCCCTTGACTCAGCTTCATGCTGTTTCAAGTCCTGTCACTGGTCATGAGAGTGAAAATATCAGTACTTGCACCTCTACTTCCCCTCATGAGGATGTTGAAGACCACAATGAGGTCTCCCCCGAGTCTCCTCTTCTCCAGACTGAACAGAACAATGACCTCAGCTATTCCTCATAAGGCTTTCCCTCAAAGCCCTTCACCATCCTCATGGCCCTTCTTTGGACAATCTCCAACAGCTCAATGCCTTTTTTTATATTGTGGTGCCCAAAGCTGCACACAGTATTCAAGGGGAGGCCACAGGAATGCAGATTAGAGCACTTATCACTCTTCCTATTTTCTCAATTTCTGTGCCCCTGTCCTCCTTACATTTTTTAATTTAAATCACACAGAGATTTAAAACAAAAAAAATACATCACACATACAAAGGGATTAAAATATTAGCAGATTTCAAAAATATTTTCCTCCTTATGGTTCTTGTATCTCCTAAAGTATTTTTAAAGTTTTTGAGGTATTTAAAATACTTTCATGTTTAAAATCTACTGGCCAACTCTGGCTGATTCAAAAACTTGAATAGACTGCTCTGCTGGGTGAATCAGAAATTCTTCCCTGCCAAGTAAATAAACAGTGCTGTACTTGTGAAAAATACTTGAGGATGACAGGGAAACGGAAGAGTTTTCCTTTAAACACCACTTTTTCTTTTTTTTTTTTTTTAATCTACCTGAAATATAGAACATGTTATTTGCCAATAAAATCAGATTTCCAAGAGCTATACAGACTTGATAGTAAAAATAAGCTACCAATGGGCATGAAAATTAGCCATAGAAAGTTGTATCCTAAAAATACTGTGTGAGAGCAGAAGCTAGCACTTTTCTGTGACAGCAAGTCTTTTTCTCAAGACCCTTAAGAAACTTCACAGGGCACTTTATAATGTTCTGTTTAGACATCAAACATATCACCTACTCCTGAACTCAGGCACTAATGAACTGAGCAACACACTGTGTAGTCAAAATGACGTGAGCAAAGTTACACTGAAACTGAAGGGAAAAAAATTGCCTTTATGCAGCCTGCCAATATTTGCCCTAACCAAATGGAAACATGAATGACTGCAGTGAAAAGGACCACAGGTTTACTTCCCACAGGAAGGATACTATTAGCACAAATATAAGTCTCCTAGTGTGCTGCTGTGTTGACTTAGTAAGGAGTGGGAGCACCACTGCTACTGAGTCAGCAGTAGCACCATGCAGTGAGTTGTGTCCTCCAGTGATGCTAATTTAAATGGATATTAGAAAATATTATCAACCCATCACTTTTATAAAGCATATTTTGTCTTCTGAGATTAGTATAATTTTAGTTACTCAGTATGTTTTTCTTATTTTTGTGTCCTAACCACCAGCCATGACACTCGAGAGGTGTTCTAAAAAGGTAGCTGTAAAACCTTGTGCAAAAGCACAAACCTCTCATTCAGCCTAACCCAGCATTTCTGTGTAAACAGACCTCAGTCACTTCTTGTAAGCCAGCAAGCAGAAGCACTAGTTAGCAAATTAAGTTCACCCTGCTTTGTAACCAGAAAATCCACACTAATTGCTCTAAGGGATGAAGTCTTTTCAGGGTTATCTATTACTCTTCAAAAACAGGGCTAAATTTTCAAAGATTAGTCAAATAATTTATGCTTGGGAAACCATTTAAGGCCAATGTATACAGATTACAACTTTCCCAGGCACTATGGGTGCAATTAGCTCTGCAGTGAATACCTCTCCTACACTGTGCTGCTCTCTGTGAAACATAATAGATATGTCTAATTACAGCTCACACTGAAACATGCCCCTTTTGTGTAGCTACCGTTTCAAAATATCCGAGGGGCAGGAAAACACCATCCAATTAAAGTAATGTGGCTCCTCGCAGGTGGGAAAGCAACTTTAGCAAAGCTTTCAATTCCCAAGTTACATTGATACAGAGGTTTTCACTATTGTCAAGAAATCCTTTTCAGCTGTGCCCTCCTCTGCCCTGTGCCAATTTTTTCAGGTATTTCTATGGCTCATTCCTCATTATGAGATCCTTTATGCAACCCTCTGCCCTACAACATAAATCCATGTTAAATGCATGCTCACAGACAGAAGGTCAGAAGAAAGCTCTCCAAAGGCAGTTTATGCTGAGGAAGCAGACCTTGTGAGTGAGTCCTGCTCAGTGCTGGGGAGGTATCCAATCCCTACTCAGGTTTTCAAGGTGGAGGTATCAACAGTGCGAGAGATAAAAATTAAATAAAGGGCAAGGTAGGATTTTAAAGGGTGTTTCAGTTAGGAGTCAGAGTAGGCACGGACAGATACAGGAAGGACTACAGAAGAAGGGACACCGTGATTGCAAGGAAAATCAGGAAAGGGGTATTTTAGTAGCCCAGGAAAGAAGAAAAAGAAAATTTGACAGATTATTCATCTATTGGAATGGAAAATAAGGAATAGATCTCTGACGTGCTACATGGGTCAAACAGCTTCCAAACCGGGGGGGAGGAAATAGAAATTAAGTCTAATCTAAGACCCACGCTAAGTTCAAGTGATGTTGCCCACTGCTAAAAAAAGTCAGGGTCTGATGTCTGAGTCTTAACCTTCCCTATCTCACAGTTACAGAATTTCCCTGGCTGTACAGTCTTAGAATCCTCCAAGATTAACAAAACCCATTTTTCCAAAACAGAAACCCACCAGGAATGACAAATACTTTCTCAGAAGGAAGCAGCCAGTAGAAAAACTCACACATAAGAAGTCCCTTTCTTTTTTTTCTGTCTGTCTGTTTCTCAGAGATAAATTCTGTAATACAAACCATAAAAGAAGTAGGTCAGTGACTCTCTTTTTTTAAACTCTCCAAACCACAAAGGAAAGATTGTTCAAAGTAGTGTGGGTTCAAGTTGTTACTAGCCTGTTGCCACGAATGTGTTTATAGAAATACTTAAGCAGTCACTTTAGTAAAATTTTTCTAAGGTATCATTCTTACCATCACTTCACATCCTACTCTGAGGTGATTCAGTTCTTCCACAGGGATGTGGCCTATAGGACATATTTCATTGCAGAGTCATGAGTCATAAGAACCTTTGCAGAACCGGCCAGGCACACTATAAATCCATCCTACCCTTCATGTGATCTGCAGAAACCTTGGAGACACCCAGAGCAGCAGTGTTTCTCCCTGCACTAAACAAGGTACTGTAATGACTTCTAGATACTATTTATTTTACTTACTCTTGGCTGATGTTGCTTTGTTGACAAATAGGAAAAAAGGAAGCAGGTATCTGAACTAATGCTTGGGAAAGTAATTAGCTAAGATTGCACAGGCATAGCCTAGAAGATGAAAGTCTTAAAAATACACAGGAAGAGAAATTTATTGTTCAGAGTTCTGTAAATTTCTAGAGCTCACTGACTAGCATATCTATCACAGCACAGTAAGAAACATTGTGTTTGCCCAGTCAGATAATTTGTCCTTGTACTCTTTAGTTCTTAGAATTACCAGTTTAGCTCCTGATTTGCAAGCTACTAGGGTCACAAACTATCTTTTATTCTAATGCCATCCTATACCAACCAAAATAACTCTTAGTCCCTGACTAGAACCCTCAGCTAAACCTGCAAGGCAAACAACAAATAGCAGCATCTGTGGTCTGCTGAATATAGAAAGCTTGTATTGCAGAAGAACTGGGAAGCTAGGATCTGGGCTAGTGCTGTAAGACAGGGTTTCAGGACATTTTTAAAAGTCAGAAAGGTAATTCAGGATGCTTAGCATGCAATAATTGGAGCAGTGCTTGCTCAAGTATAAGAAGGAGAGTTTTCTCTTGACCTAAAGGAATAGTTTGACTGCTCCTGTTAACAGAGTATTTTCTCACTACAGAGATGAGCATCAAAAGGTTCTTGGACAAATTGAAGCATAAAATTTGTCATAAGAGACAGTTTCTCAGTGGTCTCTAGCCCAGGCTTTGAAAAATAACACTATCAACTATTACTCCATGATGATGTAAAGGGCAGTGCAATAAATTTCCTGGTGAAAAAATATGAAACACAGCTAGAGTCTGGTTCATCCCTAAAAATGATAGCGGTTGCCATCAGTGAAACAGGACATGCTAAATTCTATGTGACTTTATAATAGTTAATGCCCCTCATTCTTCATTTAGGCAATTTTAGAAAGCCTTTTAATCACAGAAAAGACCAAACAGTGAAGAGGAACTTCTAAACAAATAGCAATCATAGCTATAGCTATAATAATAGCAATTAATAGCATCTTGTCTGTATTTCTTTGCAGCTTCAGGACAATGGATACATTGAATAAAGCAAACACAAGCTTTGCTCTTGACTTTTTCAAACAGCAGTGTCAGGAAGATGATCGCAAGAATATTTTGTTCTCTCCTTGGAGTATTTCATCTGCCCTGGCTACTGTTTATTTGGGAGCCAAAGGCAATACAGCAGATCAGATGGCACAGGTGAGTCTGGGCTTCTAAAAGTATCCATCTGAAAGAGCTGATCTCTTTGAGTAATGTCCTCCATACCAGGAATTTGCTGTGATGAAACAGAGGAAAGCCATATTATATGTAGAGTTTTGAGGACTCTCCCCTGTAGTTATTTCAAGTTTTACACTTTGCTAAACATAAATCTGCATCTACAAAATTAGAAAAAAACTATGTTGAGACTATAAACTTTTCTTTGGGGTATGTATTTTAGAGGCAAAATTGCTGACTGAAATTGCCAAGTCACACTGGTTCAAAGCTTGTAATGTCATCAGGGGACAGTGAGAACAGTCCCAATGCATGGCTACCAAACACCTAATGCAGGTACCTAGCTCCTGTTGTAGGGGGGGAGGCTTGTGAGTTTGCTTCTGCCAAGGCAGAAGTTGTCCCACCTGCAGTGATCTAACTCCTGATGTACAGGACAAAAGAGACCCAGTAGGGTAAAAAAGGAGGGAGCTTCTATTAGGATGAAGGGAAAACAAAACAAAACCAAAGACTCAGCTCTTCTGAAAAGTGTTCCAAGGTTGTTTGCATCCCTTTGTAGCCTGGGTAAGGTGGACAAGTCCAGAGAAAGGCATGGAACTGCCTGCACAATTTTCAGGCTTTTTGACACAGATCAGAGTTCCATTAAGACTTTGCCTTTGGTAGATTCCATCTGGGGGTAATTGGCTCTTTCCAGGTATTAACAGGTCATCCCAGGGCATAACTAAAAGCAGGCAGATCCCTCAACAAAGGCCAGGTACTTAATTAATTATAGTTTTGCCCTGCAGCCGTTAGCTTAGTTTGCACAAGCCATTTTGTACACATGGGCATTGAGACATAGCCAAAGATTTCATATTCAGTAAGGACTGGACACAAGGATAAAAATCTGAGCTTGATTGTCCTCATTACCAGTCCCTTTGATGTAACTGAAAAATTTCACTGAAACAGCAAATTTTCTAGTGTTGCATTTCTTACTGCTTTTTCCACTACAGGTACTTCACTTTAACAAAGCTGAAGGAGCCAAAAATGTCACCACAACCATAAGAATGCATGTCTACTCCAGAACAGAAGAGAGTCTATCAAATCGACGTGCATGCTTCCAGAAGGTATCTCACCCAAGCTGGTGATCAAGCTATGGGCATGGCCACCTTTTCTCCTGCTTCTATTTTCCTTCCACATTTGTGTTTGCTTATGCTTGACTTTCTCAGATTTAGTGTACAAAATTAATTGGTGCTGCATTGTGTGATATCTTCACTTAATGCAACACTTATTGCATGCTTCCCCCTTTTACACAGAATTGCACAATCTAACCTCAAATTTGCAAAATTTAACATTTGATGATCAATAGATCTTTTGATCTTTTTCCTTTAGCTCTGAGGACAGATTTCTTTCTCAACTATTACTATTCTAATGGTAGCATAGTTCTTACCTCAGAGAGCTAATCCCAAAAAAAGAGATGCTCTTCCACACATTTGATTGCAGCATCAAGACAAAGAAAATCAGAACATTAACTTTTCTAGGATACCTATTCTTGATATGTTTCAGAAATTAACCTCCATTTTAGTTGAGAAGTTAACAATATCCATTTACATGTTGGTATTTTCCAAAGTAAACCAGCTGCCTGCAATAAATCTAAGAGAAATGGGAATAATTTTATTCCTGAGATAAGCCTTTGCCATACTGGCAGGCATCTTGCCCCAGTTTGTATGAAGTTTAACATAGCAGAACAATACAGAAGAGCAAATGTAATTCCTCTGAGTCAGTAAAGGCTATTTCCTAGTTGACAATTCAAAGATGGTGATATCAAACTCTCCTCCCTGATCTTTCCTGTCATCCTTATTCTTTAGGGGCATGAGCTGTTTCCCTGCAGTCTGCCCACAAAACCCCAACTGGTGCTAGTTTTGATGAATGTATCTGCATCTCACAGCCAAATTCCATGGTGGGAAGATTTATTTTAGGGGTTATGTCAACATCTCATTTGCACTGCATGAACAGGAAAGGGATTGTTCCTCATGAGTAACACTTGCCCTCACTGTAAGAATTACAGAGTGCTATGGGTAGCGCTATGGGTAATGCTATGGGTTCTAACACTTTGGAGATTTAAGGGTCTGTTTGTGACTCTGATTCTGATATAATGATGAGATGAATACAGCACAGGTGCAGATTTTTAATTTACTAACTCACAGCTTTTTCCTTGAGCTCATTGAAGACTCTCAACCCACATTCATTTAATCCTGTCACTTCAATATGGAGAATTTACTGCAATTACTGAAACATAAAAAAACCCCAAACCACAAAATATTAAGAGAAACATTAAGAAATTTAGGGGCAAACTTTCCATGTAACACTACTTTCATAAATTAAGGGAGTGATAGAGCCAAATCTCATGCATTAAGAATCACTCTCTGATTTCTGTTTTCTGGATATCCAAAGTTTCACAATATCCACTTATAAACCCTTAAATATTTTACACAATTCAGGCTCTTAACACTTGCATTCCAAGATACCACACACTGAGTGTCTATGTGTGTCTATACCACACCTGCAACTTCTAATACTTTAAAATTATTATTTCAATGGATATCCAGTTTAGAGCACCTTTTCTGCTGGAATATAGGTAACAGGTCACCCAAGGATAAATACTTTACTTGGATCTGTGTGAAGGAAAAAGCCAGGATCTTTACACAACAGATGAATAATGTCCTTTTTATTTCTATTTCTCCAAGACAGAGATTGGCAAATCAGATAATATCCATACTGGATTTAAAGCACTCAGCTTTGAAATCAACCAACCCACTAGAAACTACCTACTTAAAAGTGTTAACCAGCTATATGGAGAAAAATCATTGCCTTTCAGTAAGGTAAGATTTTTATTCAGATTATGCAGTGTCATTTAATCCTCATGATTTACTTATGGCAACAGAAGCCATATACTTTTAAATATTTTCACTACATTTGCAAATTATGTTATTATCCTTAACATTAACATTTTCTATGATACCTTTCCTTAGACTTTGAGCACTAAAATTTTAGTTTTTGGGATGTGTATCTAATCTCAGAGTGATTTGTAGATGTAGTTAGAAGAGAATGTTTAAGTTAAGTGTTTCCACTAAAAAATACTTTGTTCCTTTGAGAAAACACTGTGCTTGTGCTCATGTAATTTTTATCTCTGGCTGTAGTAGTACTCATATTGGCATGCAGCAAACCTAAGTCAGGTGTCTCTATTGCACTACAGGAATACTTATTTTTAGCCAAGAAGTATTACAGTGCAGAGCCACAATCAGTCGACTTTGTGGGAGCAGCAGATGCAATCAGGAGAAACATCAATTCCAGTGTTGAACAACAGACTGAAGGTGAGTTCCAGCCTCCCCTCTCCAAATCTAAAAGGAGTAATTTGGCTTCTCTGTGCCCAAGGGGCCCATGGCAGGTAAATAATTCACCTCAGAATGGTAAATCAGACTTCTCCTAAATTGCTCACCTACTAACAATCTCTTACTAAAATGAGTGTCTTCCATCTCAGTGTGTGAGGATTATGGCTTATTCTTCTTTGTAAATCAAGACTACCCCAGTAACTACACATTTGCAAATAATCGCAAACTAGATTAGTGCTATGGCAGCACTTAAAATTTCCCTGGTTTATATTCCCTGAAACTGTGCCAGCACGTAGGCTGAAACCGTGAAAATGCACAGATGTGTGAATGTCCCTCTGTTTTCCCTAGGTAAAATCCAGAATCTGCTGCCTCCTGCATCCGTAGATTCACTCACCAGGCTAGTCCTGATAAATGCACTCTACTTCAAAGGAAACTGGGCAACAAAGTTTGAAGCTGCAGCTACCAGGCAAAGGCCTTTCAGAATAAACATGGTATGGCAATATACTGCCCTATTTCCTACACTGCAGGTGGAAAAACCTGAAAAAGATGGGGGGAGAGGAGGGTGAGGGAGAAATCCTGTCACTCTTTAAATCCATGTGGCAGGATAGTTATTTCATTTAAAGCATACAGTGTATTCAGTACATTTATTTCACCACACCTTCAGCACTAAAAACTGCACACACATACCAGGCTCTGAGGCACAAGTAAACTGTCAGAAGCTGACTTCAAAAAAGCTTCCATTCTCCAAAGGCAGGAAAAAAAAAGATGTGCATGGGTTAGTTCTTTACATTTTCACTTTTAACCATTCAGCAGAGTGGCATACAGTTTCCTGCAATTGGTGTCATCTGAGACAGCTCAGATGGCATGCCATGCCTCCTAGTGTCTTTCCAGTGTCTTGCAGGGATCCTCTGAAGATCCTGTGTTCTGTGTTCTACCCATTAGGATGTCTCAGACACATTGGACAGCTTGTAGAGTAAATACAATAAACATTCACTGTGCTACTTTAACTCAGTCCTTTTACTGTTCAGAGTACAAATGTAAAACATTCCATTTGATTTGTTGCAGCATACAACTAAAACAGTGCCCATGATGTATCTGAGGGATAAATTTAACTTAAACTACATAGAATCAGTTCAGGCTGATGTTCTTGAGCTTCCATACGTCAATAACGACCTCAGCATGTTCATCCTTCTACCAAGTGACATCTCCGGCTTACAAAAGGTAAAAAACCTGAGAATATAAATACTGTGAAAAAATAAGAGTGTCATTATTTACTTACTTTATGCATGTGTGAGGTAAAAGATCAGGCTGTAGTCATGTTTCTAGGAAGGAGGATACTGATCAGGCTCAAGGTAAATAAAATCTCAAATATGGTCCAGTACTGTGAGCTTGAACCTCTTGAAGCTCAGACTAGATTTCTTAATCTTGGAAGCCAGCATGTCTGTGGTTGCTTAAGTTTGTAAGTCCTGGAAACAGGTAACCCAAAACCCATAAGATTACTCCTTTTCCAGCTGAACAAAAATGAAGACACAAAACCAGCCCTGCTGAGATTCACTGTCCACACCACTTCAGACAGATACGATTTTATTCTGATAAAAACCCACCAAAATTGGGCAGCTTCTGTTATGTTCCAGGATGTCCAGAACTAATATGTATGGACACTGCCACCTTCTGTAAAAAGCTTGATTCTGCCTTTGGATAACAAACCCTTAAGAAATTTTCATTTTTAAGGTGTTGTGTGGGGGGTGGAGGAAAGCTCTTTTCAGTGAATTCTAAAATGTGGGGAAGACAGCTCTGGGAACAGAAAAAACAACCAGACTATTGTAGCTCTGTTATATATTCCTTGACAGCTACTGAGAACATTTCAAATACTGCATTGATATACCGTAGAACAACATTCTCCTTCAGTGAAAAAGATCTCTGAACTGCTGTTTCATGACTGTTTTTCTTGTACTCTTACAACCTCTTGAAAAGTTCTCCATTTAAGAGAAGGAAAAACCCCTAGGGCACAGGTTTTTGAACATTTTTAATTTTCTAATTTTCTTTTTACTTACTGCAGCTAGAAAGAGAATTGACTTTTGAAAACTTGTCTACATGGACAAATCCAGAACTAATGGAGAAAATGAACATGGAAGTTTATCTGCCCAGGTTCACGCTAGAAGAGAAATATGACCTCAAATCAACTTTGAGCAGGATGGGGATACAAGATGCCTTCACAGAAGGTCAAGCTGATTTCACAGCAATGTCCAAGACTGGTGATCTGTTTTTGTCACAGGTTTTCCACAAGTGTTACCTGGAAGTCAATGAAGAAGGCACAGAAGCAGCAGCTGCCAGTTCAGCAACACTGGCATCACGAAGTCTTGGTGCTACTGTTATCTTTCTGGCAGATCACCCTTTCCTCTTCTTTATCAGACACAATAAGACCAATACTATCCTCTTCTTGGGAAGGTTTTCTTCCCCCTAGAAACTCGATTACGAAACAGGTTATTGCAACAACAAAAATGAACTAAATACACACCACAAGGAACAACTCAATAGCCTGCACACTTCTTAATTTTCCTGTACTGTTGACAAATCTCTCAATATTAGAAGAGAATATTTATGAAAAATAGCCTCAAAATTATGCCTCTGGATCACTTTCCTGGCCAAAGAACTCCAAAATGCTAGCACTACACACTAAGTACCAAACTGTGCAAAGAAGAACATTACTATGTCTTTTCAGCACGTTGTGAACAAGAACTTCCACAATTCAGAACAGACTGAGTTGAGCTCAACCAGTAATTTTAAAGTTTTGATACCTAAGAAGAAAACCCAGGAAAATCTCCTTGCAGAATGCTGCTGTATCTCCATTGGTTTCAGATCATGCTGATCCCCAAGGCAGGCTACTCACCTGCATTCTTGTCCATTTTATACCAACTCTGCAGACTGGCAGAACTGGCAATGAAATAAACCTGCAAAATCACCTTTGTTCCTGATACTGGTTCTTCTTTTTTTTGCTCAAAAAGGAGTTAACACATATACTTTCTAATCTCTGTACCACAGCAATTTGAAATTATTAACAACACTATAGAACTAGGAAAATAAAACACATGTACCTCAAAACCTTCTCCTTTGTAAACTTTCATCCTTACAACACTATTTCCAGCCTAGCACTGTACTGCTTTGCTCTCATTTTACTTTGCCACTTATTCACTGGTTTGAGACAAGATTAAATGGGAGAACCAAGTCTGAAGCTAATACAAGTAATACTAATGGCCGTAAGTGCTTTCTGGAAGATTAATGTGAATCTCCCAGGTTATATTTACTCCTGTCACTGCTCTTTCTCCTAAGAGAGTGTCCTGATCAGTCATGTGTGTTTGCAGGGAATGTTCCTGACTATATGAATTCACAACAGACAGCAAAGGACCAGGTTTCTTAATGGACTTGCACACATCAACAGCATCTTACTACAAACACATTTTCTTGAAACAGCAGGACTCCCTTTACCTGGCAGAGATTGTTGACTGTCCCTGCATCCTTTCTCTTTTCATTCAAGTGGTCAGCTACTCCCAGGGTCCCTTATGGCTCTGCTTCCCAAATGGGAAGGAACATAGGAAGAGTGTTATGAAGCACATGCTTTATACTATCCCTATAGAGCCCCAAGAGAAAAGCCTTCTGCCTGTCTCAGTCATGAAACACGACACTGGATCCCTGTGCATTCAGGTCCAATTCTGCCATGCCCTCCTTCACCTCATGGAAGAGCAGCATGTCCCCATGGATAAGCCTCTCAAGCACTTTCTGATAAGCCTTGGGAATAAAGACAGAAAAGCCACACCTGGAAGGCCAAGGAGGAAAAAAACTATGACAACATGAACATAAATTCACTCAGGCCTTTAAAGTCAGTGGAAATATGAGTCACCTTTTCTCTCTCCTTAATTATTTTAAGCATGGTTGCAAAGATGACATAGTTGATGTCCTTTTGGCAGTACCATATCATCACTGAGGGGCAGTGGCCACAACACACAAAAAGTGAGTTATACATTTGTGAACAACCTTTTCCTAGGGTGAACAGAAGTCCTGGAAATGTTGTGGAATATTTATCCTTGGAAGGGCTATGGCTAACCTTATCTACTCATGACTCTGCTCCAAGCAGGAGCTTGATCTCTGGATGCCCCTTTTAATTAATATATGTGATTTTTTTCTCTCTTGTCAAAAGTTACTCTGCCTTGCCATCTCCTCTTCTCATCTTGTATGGCTTCCTTGAATCTTGACTAGCAAAGGCAACTATCTTGCTCACAGTATATATCTTTGGGACTTGGGAGTCTCCTGGTTTGGGCTTTTTCACCACCTAACCATTCAGTTGACTTTTCTCCTATCCAGAATTCTGGAGGATTACCATACTAAACCTAGCACTTGTTTAATTTCTGGTGTTTCTTCACTGCCTTGCACAACACTGATTTTTGACATTTTTTTTTTTATTCTTGACCCACTGTACTCCTGTAATCAGGCTTGCAGTAAAATGCTTAGCACACAGTACAATTTCCTTCCTTTCCTGCACCTTCTCTTGCCCTCTAGGGTTTCAGAGTTGTTGCCACCATGTTCTTCTTCCATCACTGTCCCTCTTCTGGGACTTCAAAGTAACAGCTCTTGTGCCATGTTTACCTGTGTTATTTCTCTCTGTCTTTGCTTGAGCCCTCCCAGCAGGGTTGTTTCAATTCTTGCCCTCCTCCTTACTGTGCAGTAACTCAGGGTTTTGTGGTGTTTGTCTCAAATTATTCCCAGCCATGACTTCAATGAGATTTCTTCAACAACACAACCAGCTGGGTGCCCATCCCTTACCCTCCTTCACATCTTTGCCTCTGTGTTCCTAATGATCTTCAGTCTGAAACTGGACACCCAGTGCCCAATTCAGTCACTAAGCTTGGTGTTTTATGCTGAGGTACTGCATTTGAAAGTCAGGAGTCACAGAGAAGAGAATCAGACCCTCAATATCTGCTTAAATCCAGAAGCCAAAACCAAGTATTGTGTAACCTTTTTAAAAGTCAATTATTTTAAAAAACAGAGTAATTATCTCCACAACACCAAAAAACCTTTGGAATCAGCAACTTGCTTTGCTAACCTCTCAGTAGGCTATTGTGGGGTAACAACAGACCTGAGATTTTTATTCCATTGCCCTTTTAAAATCTCTAAACCTGAAAAGTGACCAGGTCAACAAAAAGGACAATATTTCCTAAGATTTTCTGAGTATGTGGTAGAAAGGAACTTTGGGTAGGTGGGAGCAACTTTGGGTAGGTGTTTGTAGATAAAAAGGAAAGGGAGGGGCAAACAGTAATGTGTTCCTTAATTTAAAACTTGCTTAACACACAAATGCAGAACCTGACTGAGGACAAGACCTAAGTCTTCTCTTTCACGGGACTAAAGGTAAATATTTAAATAATTTTAAATAATTTTTATGGTGTTTTTAAAAAGAAATCTGTGCCGTGTGTGACTGTATGGGTAAATGATTATATACTTGTGTTATAATGCATTATTCCTGCCTTGTGTTTTTCTAAATGTCAACCGTTAGAGAAAATAATGTTGTAAGCCTGCAGAAAACTGCTAATTTGGGGCAGAATTATTCAGAAGCAGGGAAGTTTTCTTAGGGCAGTGACTGCATTACAAGTAAAATCTTCATTTTGATAAAATAATTCTGTACTTAAGGTGAAGGCGCAGCACTGCACATTATCAGGCCAGAGACTCAGAGCAGTATTCATCAGCTGAAAACAGAAATTCCCATCCTGATGCTCTCTTGGTTGTGTTCTCCAAGGAAAGAAAATCACTCTGTGGTACAGATATGGTCCTGAGGGCATAATGACTGCCAGAAAGAATGCAATTGTTTGGAAACCAAACACTTCATAAATACCTGCAGATATCAAAGATTGACCACAATTTTTGTTGCTCCATTCCACAGATACAACAACAACAATAATAATCTAAGCATTTCTGGTCTCTTGAGTGGTAAATTACATGAGGCATCTATTACTGGGTAGATATCTTAAAGCCTGGAGCACTCGTAACCTAAAGGCATCTGACAGTTTTTGGGGAAAATAAAATTGCTGGAACATATAGAAAGGGTGGTAGGTACACACAATGAATAAGCTGTGTAAGTCTAAATGGAAGCAACAGCTTTGCTGTTCATGAAACTATTCAGAATAGGTTGCCGGCCAGGAAAAGCAAATGAGCCTGACAATTATGCCTAAATCCTTTCACAGTATCAACTGTAAATTCTATACAGATCCAAATGTAGTAGTAGGAAACTCAAACATGTTATGAACCAATGCACTAAAAATGCATATAAATTCTCCTGGGAACGTTGCTTTGATAAATCATTAGTTAAGGACAAAAAGGAAAATTAATATAGAGGTTAAAAATCTACATATCTTTGGAAATCAAAGGCAGAAAGAATCACAAAGAAAACTGCAGCTGTATAAAAGAGGGGAAAAAAACGAAAATAAATTGGTGCTCCTAACAGGTGTCAAACAGTATCTGTGTGGAAGATAAACATACAGCTATGCTATTAGTTTTAAATCTATTGTCTTGCATATGCAATATTTCTCACTAATGGATACTGTGTACGAAAATTTACAAAAGTTTAAACATTCAAATAGTGCAATTCTGTCTGTTGGCTTTTTCCAGGTTGTAAAAATGGAAGTGGTCTCCACATCAATTGGCAACTTTACCATTGATCTTTTCAACAAGCTGAATGAGAGCAACAAGGGAAAAAACATTTTCTTTTCCCCTTGGAGCATATCAGCTGCTCTGGCTCTGACATACCTGGGAGCAAAAGGAACTACAGCAACTGAGATGGCAGAGGTAAGCTACTTTTGTACTATTATCATGGGGAGAACCATTTGGATTTGCACAAACACATTCCTATTGTTGGGAGAAACAGTGGTGGAAGGGAGTTCTGCCTTGCAGCATGTAGATAAGAGCACAGTGTTGGTGGTCTGGGAGGGAGATGCTGCTATTCATTGTTATTCCATGGGATCTATTGTCACTACAGCTTCAGCATCCTTTTGATTCATCACCTAAGCAGCAGATAGCACAGTGAGTTATCACAAAAAGAGAAACATGACAACCATCTGATCCCCATTTGACTTTAAGTTTCACAAGGTCTTTCATGCCTGTTTCTTATCTTTTGAAAACTCTGCTTGCAGGTCCTTCATTTCACTGTAGGAGCAAGAGCTGAAGCTTCTTCTTCTGTGGCCAGACCTTCTCGGGGGAGACCAAAGAGAAGAAAATTGGTATCTATTTGAACTGAAATTCCATTAGAAAGAATCTGCAGAATTAAAATGTCCACATATAGATTTAGGAGTCCAGCATTTATTGTCTGCACTCCTCTTTAAAGTACAAACCCCAGCCATATCTCACAACAGGATGATGTTCAGTTCCTTTCACTCACTCAGACTTTCAGAAGTTGAAAGGATGAGTCACTGGGATAGTCTG